CCCGCCGACGACGTCTGCATTCGCTACGCCGACGCGGGCGAGAAACCGTTCGGCGCGCGCGGGCATGTGGACCACGTCGCCACGCAGCCGGGCTCGGAGGCCGCTCGCTCGGCGAGGTACTGCTTGCGCATGTTCGACGAGCGCGCGAAGTTTGCTGGAGTATTTCCGTCGAGCTCCGTGGACGCCGACGCCGTCGTCGAAGGGCGCCGCGCTTCCGACAACGCAGTGCCCGAGATCCGCCGTTGGTGGAGCGGCAGCGCCCCCGTGCTCGCGGCTGCGAACCGCGAGATCCGCAGAACGCGGCCCTTCGCGCGCTACTGGAGCACCCCGCGCGCGCCGCAGAGCAACGGCGTCATAGAGCGGTTCAACCGCACGGTGATCGAGGGGGCTCGGGTTTCGCTCCTCATGGCTGCCTTTCCAGCGTCTGTGTGCGACCCGGCATTGGCGCATGCAGTGCAATGGCCATTGCAGGGGTTTGGGCGGATCCACTCCGTGCGAGCGCCGCTACAAGGCGTCCGCCGAGTGCGAGCAGCACCCGTTCGGAGCGCTGGCGTTCGTCGCCGCCGCCAGGAGTCGCAGCGCCAAGCCCCTGAAGTGGAGCCCTAGGGTGGTGCCGAATGTGCTGGTTGACGCTGGCTGCGGGCCAGGCTCCACGCGGAGCCGGACGTATGGAGTCGTCAAGTTGGCCTTCCTCAACAGCGACCGGCCGACCCTTGCGGGCATCTGGTATTCCGCAGAGGTCGATTTCCCGGACCGCGTCATGCACCCTACCCGCCAGCGCCTCATGCTTGCCCGGGCGCCCGAGGACGCGAGCTTCTCAGCGCCTGCGGTGGCTGACGCCAACGAATCGTGGGCGTCGCAGTTGTCCGAGGTGAGTGAGGGGCCAGGCGACGAGTTTTACGACGGGGCCATGGAGGAGAACGCCCCGAAGCAGGGGCCCGGCAGCTTCGTCGAGACCGTCGCGCTGGACCCCGAGGACTCGCAGGCCGTGGGCGATGATCCGGAGACAGAGGAGGAGGTGGTCGAGAAGAATGGCGGCGAGCAGGCCGTCACCGAACACGAGCCGAAGGTCGAGCCTGCCGAGCTCGGCCGCGCGGAATTGGAGGTCGAGGGGAATCGCGCGCCCAAGGGCTGGAGGGTTGACATTTTCCCGCACGGGCAGCATGCCAGGACGATTCCGGTCCCGCCTTGGAGCCGGAGGCCACCCACCGTCCTCCCTGAGGCATAGTTCATGATCAAGAAGTCCGACCAGGAGAATTTGCGCCAGGAGTGGAAAGAGAAGGATCTCGTGGGCTTCGCTGCTCGAGAAGCTCGGAAGGCGGCATATGATCATGCCAAGCGGGCGAGGGGGGCCCCCCGGCAAGTGCTGTGGGCGCTGGGCGCGAGGACGCTCGTGGACACCCGGCTGCTGAAGTACCGGTTGCAGGCCAGCTCGTGTACGTGGGCAGGGGTCGGCCGAGCGCGACGCCTGAGGCGCGCTCGTGCAAGATGCCCCTGATGCTGCGAAGGCGTGCTCGATGGCCTCGCGTCTGAACCAGTTTGGACAGCAGGGCAACTTCATGCGATCTACTCGCACGAAGATCCAAAGCGGGCAGTTCAAGGTTGTGTTATTGGACATCCCCTCGAAAGAGGAGTCGAAGATCGCGGATCTCACGCCGCGGGAAACCTTGGCCGTCAGGATCACGGAGGGCGACGTGTTGTGCAGGAAGGAGACCATCAGGGCGCTGCGCGGCATCGTCCGGGCGTGCAGTCAATTCGGTGTTCCGCTGCACTGCTGGTTGGCGAGTTCCCAGACCACCCAGTCGAGGTCGCTGCTGGCTTGTGTCGTCACGTCGCGAAGCAGGGAGGCTACATCTATGGGGGGTGGCCGCCTCCGTCCTCCACGTGGTTGCGCAGCGACGTGCAGCAGTTGTTGGCGCACGCTGCATGTCAGCATCGTGACGTCTCGACGGCTAGCCTCGGCGTCTGCCATGGAGGGCGAGGGCGACGACTACGTGGACCACTGCGCCGACGAGTTCCTGCGCGTGTTCACGAACAGCGCGAAGCTCATCGAGCTGCTGGATCCGCATGCCACGTTGCCAGAGATGGCGGCGGCGTCGATCGTCGGCCGCTTGGGCACGTTTTCGGACCCCCCCGGCACGCGGAGGAGCTCGCGCGTTTGGTCTGGCAGTCCATCCTGCCTATCGCCGGGATCCGCACCGACCACGACGACAGCGCGCAGCGCGACGTCGGCGAAAAGACGCCCAATTGGTCTGTGTTCGTCACCCGGAAGATCCCGCTGAAGTCGGAGGAAGCAAAGTCGGCCAAAACACGGGCCGCCGTAGACAAGGAACTCTCTGGGCACCGTGCCCAGAAAACTTGGGACGAGTCCACGGTGAGAGAATGCAAGGACTTCGTGCGCGACAATTCGAAGGCCGAGGTCATGACGGGCCGCATCTTCGGGATTTGGGGCGAGACCAACGCCGAAGCGGAGCGTGGGGAGGACAGGAGGATGAAATTTTGCGCGGTGCTCCAGAGATCGAATATCAGGACGAAGACAGGGACGGCGGCGGTGAATTTGTATGAGGAGGTGAGCAGCAGCCCCGCGTCGTTCGTCGCCATTCGCTGCACCTTGGCCGTGGCCATCCCCAGGCGCCTAAGCATCACGGTGCGGGACGCGCTGCAAGCTTACCTGCAGGTTCGCATCAACGTCGACGGCAGGATCGAGACGTGGTTTGAGATACCCAGGGAGTGGTGTCCCGCCTTGTGGTTCGAGGGGGGTGGCAGGAGCAAACCATAGGCCCATTTGCCTGCTCCTGCTGGCCCTGCGTGGGCACCTGGAAACAGGGGCCTTGTGAGGGAAGAAACTCACCAAGGTATTGCTTGGGCTCGGGTGGCACTCGGTGCCCTCCTGGCCGGGCGTGTTCGCCCATGTCGACGGGGGCATGCTGACCGTCTACGTCGACGACTTGCTCCTGGCAGCGCAGCGTGACAAGGGCGGCGCTCACTGGGAGGCGCTGTGCAAGAGCATCGATTTCAAGGACGCGCCGATGCCGGTGGACAAATTCATTAGGGCGTACTACGTTCTCGACCCTTTCCGCTTTAAGCTTCGCGATGCGCCTCTTTCAGTCGCGACGTCGATGATCGACTGCACCCGGGCGATGGTGGATGGCTTCCGCGGCGACGCCGGCCTCGGGATCACTGGGCCCGTGGACGCGCCGTACATCCCAGCCGAGTCTTGGGCGCAGGACCCCGAAGAGGCAGGGAGGTTTGCAGACGTCGCGGCGTCGCACTCTGCGTCATCTCTCTTCTTGTGCCGTGTTGGGCGGCCCGACCTGGCTGCGGCCACACAGCCTGTGTGTAGCGGAGTGTCGCGCTGGACCACTGTCCACGTTTTGGCACTCATCCGTCTCATGACGTATGCCGCCTGCGTTTCCACGCGCGTCCTCGAGGGCGCGCTTGCCCCGGCCGACGTGGGCGATCTGCTGCTGCTGACGTACTCTGACGCCGACTGGAACGGCGACCCGATGACCAGCAAGTCCGTGACAGGATGGTGGATTGAGCTGTTCTCACCGTCCTTTGGCCGTAGCTTCCCATTGTTTTGGGGATGTTCTCAGCAGTCGTCTACTGGAGGATCCACCGCGGAAACTGAGACAGTCGCATTCTCCCATGTCGTGCGGCGCGAGGCCATACCGATCCAGATGCTCCTGGACGAGGTCCTCCCACGCAGGATTGGGATAGCGTGCAGGGGCAGACGATCCAAGCCGTGACCAAAGGCTACTCGAAGCGGCTGCGCCACCTGCCGCGCACTCAGCGCGTTTGCGTCGGCATGTTGCACGAGATGTTGAACGACCGGGACCTCCAACTAAGCATCGAGCATTGCCCCACCTTGCAGATGAAGGCCGACCTCTGAAACCAAGGTCCTGAATGGCCCGAATTTTCGAGCAGCGCTTGAGATGATCCTCGTGTCTCGGCAGGCGCGAACTCAACGGCAGTGGCCGTGCCGGCAGTCGCTCGGCGAGGGGTGTGTGGATAATATCCCGTTGTGAGCGCCGCCGCTCGTGCGAGCAGGGGTGGGAACAGCGTCAGCGTGGGCACGTGTCTTGCTACTTGCTTCCGCCGTGATGCACGCAGACGAGCACAGGTTGTTGCAAGTTCCCGTTGTCTTGTATCTGAGAGGAGGTGCAATGAGCTCTGGGCATTTTGATTGTGTGGCGGCATCCTTGTTTCCCAGTGTACGTGATGATCCTGGCCAAACGGTCCATGGTCCGTTTGGGGTCCCTGTCGTGCAGCCCGACCCCAATTAGGCTTGCGCCCGCCTGCATCGGCCACGCGGCGGGGACAGCCTCGCTGCGCGTTCCCCACTTAGGCTTGCGCTCCGTTGGGCGTTCCCCTGGGCTGTGGCCTCGCCGTCTGCTCTTCCCGTGGGGCCTCGGATCGTCCCGCGGGCTGTGGCTTCGCCGTCTGCTGCCTTCCGGGTGCCGCAATCGTCCCGCGTCTGTCTCAAGGCCGGTCTGGTGGCGCCATTCGGCGCTCCCCGCGGCATATTTGCCTCAAGGCCAGTCTGGTGGCAAGGTCGGTCTGATGGCGCCATTCGGCGCTCACCGCGGCATGCTGTACGCTTGCTTTGACCTGCTCCGTTTGGATGAGCACGCAGCGCATCCGTAACCATTATTGCTCAAGTCCAAACGGGCTTGTAGCCTAAATGGTGATTCTGATACTACCAGTTTTCCTGGACCTGTGAGCTATACGTGGCCAAGTGGAACAAACTGACGAAAAAGAGCCGGTGTGAAAGTCAAAACCAAGAGCAGCTACGCGGGGACCCAGGGAGAGGGGCCCAGTCTTACGAGCGAGCCCAACGTAGAGACCTACGGGAACCAGAATACCGAACAAGAGCTAGGGCGGTTGGAGCAACAGACACTCGTTTCTTCCACAACATACAAGGGGGCGGCTACGTTGACTAAGCTTGGAAAGAAGAAGGAGGAGGAACAGGAGGAGGAGGAGGAGAATGACTGTTGGAGTAGGTCCATACTTCTGGCCAGTTGACCTGCGTTGTAGGGTACGGGACAGCTCGTGTGCGCCGACTCCGGGTCCTCATGTGCAGTGCGAGTAGCGCCACGCGGCTCTGGGAGCCTGAGCATTCTGCGATTCCCGACGGACGTTGCAGCGGAAGCGACAGTTGCAAACCGAGCGGGCAGGGCAGGAGGACGAGGAGGGAGAGGGAATGGCGACAGGGATATTGTGAGGCAGCGCAGGGATGCCGCACTGTGGCCTGCCATCCGTCAGGTGGCAGACGGCGCAAGCCTCCAAATCCCGCGTGCGTGCAAACGTGGGCTGGTTTTGCACGCCTCGTCGCCTCTGCGATGCGCGACTACGGCTCCTCCTGCATGGTGGTCGTTCGGCTTCTGGGCGATTGATGTGAGAACTTGTTCAGTATGCTGTTTTCACACGTCGCCAGCCTGCCGGGCGTCGCACCTCACGTGTCAGCCCATGAGGGCTCGACGACGCGCGAGAGTGGTCACAGCCTCTCTCCCCAATGATGGTTTCCGAGACTGCCAGGATACCCCCAAGACACCTCAAGCAGGCCCCACGCCGCAAACACACCCCAACCATGCCTTTTGAGAGCCCCTCAGGGGCTCCCGCAGGGCCCCTCCACCTCGTTCCGCAACACTCCCGCTGGAACGTTCTTCTCCCGCCCACATTCTTTTCAGGGCAGCTCAGCACAGCCCCATGAGGCCTCAGCGGCCCAGCCCACGAGTGCCCCAAAATAGGTAGCCAAGGACAGCCTCCCAGAGACTCCCCGAAGTCCCCTCAACTGAGTACTGGAACACTCTCGCCAGAACGTGCTTCTCCCTCCCCCTCTTGTCGCCTGCCCAGGGCATTCCAACAGAGTTCCCTCCGTCCCTCCTCCTCCTCCTCCTCATCCTCATCCTGAAGGGGACGGTGCACATAGTGTGCTGTATGAGTGCAGTCGCAAGCAGAAGGCAGATTGCGTGCATTACGTGGTCTTGGATATACGATTGGCGCAGCGAGCATGCGGGCAGTGGACCTCATTTTGTTGTGTCATCCGTTCGCGCACTGTTCAAGTTCGAACACGCAGGACCCAGTGCGGGGGACACGATGTCCGCTGCCAAGGCCCAGGGGCCTCTTGGCACAGCAGCTGTTGGCAGTTTGCCTTTTCCCATCGTTCTCCTCGTCTCCTGCCCCTCCCTGATTCGGCGCCCGCCTGGTCTCCACGCCGGGCTGTCTCGGCCGACCTCGGACGGGGTGCTGCCATCACCAAGAGCAGCGCTCTGCGATCTACAATTGCTTGGTCAAGCAGTAGGCTGTACTCCAGATGGCGATTTGCGATCGCCTGGTAGAGGATTGGGCAGGTCTAGTTCCTTGACGTTGTGGATTCGGGGGGCCGTGTCTGTCCTGTACAGCGCGGTCTTCTCTTGTATCCGATTCGGAGTACACACGGATTCGACGTTGAGTCGACGCGGATTCGACGTTCGACATGGATCCGGCGCGGGATCCACGGTGATAGTTGCGACAGACAATTTCGCCACCAGGTGCAATGTAAGGTCCTTTGCGCGCTCATTTGAGCAACCTTAGTTGTTCGAGCGAGGCGTCTGCTATAGGTAGCCTTAGGTAGTTCGGCAGGATGTTTCGTAGACCAGCCCACCGCGCTTGCCATCCGCGCCCTTTAGTTTACGCGGCGAGAGCCGTGTCTGCATTCTTTTCGTAATTGCAGAATGGTCGGACATTTTATGGGCGACATGCAATGTCCACACTCAGTCCTGGTGTTTTTAGTCTTGTCCCCACTACTCGCATACACGTGCGCAACCGCGCATATCCGCCACCATTCTACGACGTGGAGACATTGAAGTGTGCTGGGCGGCAACTAGCCTGGACTCAAGACAGACCAAGAGAGCCCAAATGCGGCTCAAGATGGCGTCACGACCCCGACATTGCCGAAGAGACTTCAATCTGCACACACATTTTTTTATTTATAATTATAGAGGTCTGTGTATGTATGTATGTATGTATGTATGCATGCATGCATGCATATATATATATACACATATATATATATATGTATTTATATATATATATATATATATATATGTATTCACACATTTACGGTAGGTTTGCGTCGTGTCGACCAGCGGTGACCCCAGCGCGGGCGTTCAAGGTTGAACGCCGCCGGCGACCCAGAATCGATCGATGTTGAACGATCGGACGTTGCGGCAGCGGCAGCGGCCGATCGGTGTCAAAAACCAACGCTGGGGTCGGCACGACACGAACCTGCCGTATATACATACACACACACACACATATATATATATATATATATATATATTTCGGGGGGGCAGGCTCGGGGCCCACAAACAGCTGCCCCAACCCCCCATTGGAGGACGGGGCGGCTGGGGAGGTCCAAAATAGACCAGGAGGGCCTCCATAGGCTCCCCAGACGGCCCAAGCAGGCCCCGTGTCGCCGAAAGGCCGCTCCTGGACGCCCAAGGTAGGCCCAAGACGGCCCGAGAACCCCCCCCAAGGCACTCCACGACGCTTCATGACGCCTCTCCCGAGCGCTTCAAGATACCAAAATCGTAAATTTTACGATGGTTTTGGAGAGATGTTGGCCTTCCAGCCTTTTCGGCTGTCCGACGTTCCAGGCCGGCTCCATAGGCCCCCAAGAGAGCCCCAAGACGGTCCAAGAGGGCTCCCAGAGGCGCCCCAGAGAGCCCCAAGACGGCTCCAAGATGCGCCCAAGAGGGGGACCACGACTCCAAAATTCGACCCTCCCACTTGAAGAGTTCCCCAGGAGGCCCCAAGGAGCCCCCCAGAGGCCCCAGGAGGCCCCCGAGAGGCACCCAGGAGACCCAAACAAGGCCTCAAGCGGCAACAACACAGCCCCGAGGAGGTCCCACGACGGTCTCAAAAGGGTTACCGAGAAGTTGCGAAACTGCCTTCACGACGTCCCCGACAGGCCAAACACGAGATCGAAACCAACACACATGAGGCCTCTGACCCACCGAGCGAGGCCACCCGCCGTCCGCCCGCCGTCCGCGGCGCACGCACCACTCTGTACTCAACAGCTTCAGTCTCCAAGACAACACCCTGTAGTCAGCAACCCCCGTCTTCAAGGCAACACCCTGTGCTCAACAAGCTCCCGCTGCAAGAGAGCACCCTTAAGGACTTCATTCAAATCCCGACCCGCCCGCCCGCCCGCCCGCCGCCCGCCACCCGCCCGCCCGCCGCCCGCCCGGCCGCTCGCCCGCCTTCCGCGTAGCACGCGCCACCCTGCACTCAACAGCCTCCGCCTCCAAGACAACACCTAGCATTCAACAGCCCCCAGGGTTCCCAGGACTGCCCGGGCCCGCTCCCAAACACGCCACGACACGCCAAGAGGGCCCTAAAGATTGCCAAGACAGCCCCAAGAGGCCCCGGACACGCCGAAGATGGCCTCAGGACGGCCGACGACGCCGCCAAAGCGCCCCAAGAGTGCCTCCAGAGGCCCCTCCAAAGGTCCCCGCATTTTTACGCTCTCGCATGTTCCGCCTCCCCACGGTCCCGGACGGCGTCAGAGGCCCTTCAGATCGCTCCAAGACGGCCGACGAGGCTCCCAAGGAAAGACCAGAGACGGCCCAGAAGGCTCCCCAGATAATTCAAGAGGGCCTCGAGAGCGCCCCAAGAGAGCCCCAAGAGCGACCCAAGAGGGCCCGAAGAGCGCGACATTTCAAGGCCTCCGGCCTGAGAGGCTCCCAGGACGCCCCCGGAGGCCATCAAGAGGCTTCCAAGAAGCCCCGTGAGGCTCCCAAGAGGCCCCCCGGAAGCCCCAATAAGCCCCCAAGGGCCGCCCAGGGAAGCCGCCTGCGGGCCCCCAAGACACTTCGGTAAATCGTATTTCCCAGATAGTTTTCGGGGGACATGATTCCTTGGGCTTCCGCCCACCGCCCCAACCATGTTTCCAATAGGCTTGCCGACAAGGCCAAAAAGGGCCCCTCGGCAAGCCCCCAGAGCCCCCCTCTTAAGAGAGCCGAACAAATCATGCTCCTGGCAAGCTTCCCGGGGACATGATTCTCGGGTTGCCGCCCTCTCCCCAAACCATGTTTATGAACGCCTGCCAGGATAAACAAACACGAGGGTCCCAAGCAGCGCTACCTGCCGCCACGCTCGGAAATGCGTCAGGCCCCGAAGCCTCCGGAGGCGCCCAACGACACCCCAACAAATCATGTTCCCAGGAAGTCTTACGGCCAGTGCCGCCGACGTTGAAGGAGGACGGTCCAGGATACCCAGAAATCTTCCAAAGAGGCTTCCAAGAGGGCGCCGAGACAGCCCAGGGCCGCCCCCAGACGGCCCAAGAAAGCCCCAACACAGACGAACAGGGCCGCAAGAGGCCCCCAAGAGGCCCCGAAACGAGGACATATCGTTCGAACACGCCAAAGATGGCCTCCGGACGGCCCACAATCCCAAAGGGACGCCAAAATCATTGATTGTCCCTAGGTTTTTCATGGATTTCAGACACCCAATGTCGCCCCAACAGGCCCCCACGAGGGCGCCGAGACGGCCCAGGGACTCCCTGCCTGAAGGAATTGACCTGTTATAAGAGTTATCAATAGTTATAAATAGGTTATAAGTATGTTATAAGTAGGTTATAGCAGGTTATAACATATGTTATACTTAGTTGGCGCACTTATAAGTTTGCTAAGTCGGAGCCCTGAGTTAGCCCGAGTTATCAAAGTTAGTAACTTCGCTATTTTTTCAACATGGTTCTCACCAGATCGACATAATCATATATGTTGCAGGGTGTACTCTTCAAAAAAAGAGTTTGATAATATGTTTGAAAGTGTTGCACTCATCATTGCGACTTCTCGCAAATCATATCTACGCTGGTCACAATTGCAATCGATGCAAATCCGCAGGTAGTGTTGCAACAATTGAGTTGCATGTTGTTTTTTTGGGGCATGCCATGTTGATTCCGTTGTCATGTGGGCTCCAGGGCATTTCGCGCGCATCATTTTGTGCTCACGATTTGCAAGTTGTGTCTTGCATCCATCTGAGACATGCAGCCGCGTGGAGCGGATGCTAAGATTCTCAAATGCAATGACGCAATGGGCATTATTGAGAGGAAGTTCGACTCGCCTAAAGCAGAGGTGGTAGATTTGTACGAACAGGTCAAGGCGATAGCTCGCCAACATGGTATGCTACTGACAGAGAAAATCAACAGAAAGTATATGTACGTGAGCCCATGCAACAGATATGGCGACGGCGTCGTGCCGTGTGACGTCACTGAGTTGATCATTAAAATATTGGGAAATGGGTTCAGGCACGAGCATCTGTTGATGCCTACGTGTGCCGAGGTGCCCCCAGTGGGCACTGCGCAGCACCTCAAGATCAAAATGTTTAACGACAAGATAATGGCCGATAGCGCAGGACAGCTGCCGTTCTACGATGATGGTGATGGTAAATATCAGAGTTACACATGCGGCCATGCATCGCAAGGTTTGCGATGCATCATACATGGCACGAACGTGCCCGAGACCAACCCAGAGCGGTTCAGCGACATGAGCCAGGACGGGAAGATATCATTGCAGCGCCTCCAGCAATTCCAACCAACTTATGCGGATGCCGCTGTAAACGGTATCACATGGGACATCTTCAAATGGCAGTTTATCGAGGCGTTTCCTTTCGTTCCAGACCTTGCGCAAGAAGCGGGCAACGCAGGGCAGGCCGCTGCCAAGTGCGAGAGCAGGCTGGAAATCATGCTCAAGATTGCGCAGTGCGCGAAGAGCCTGCAGCAGAAATTTGAGCTGAATCCGAATGCGAAGTTCCCGTGGGAAAAGGTCAGGCGCCAGGCGGGCAGGGGCGCAGTCTTCAAGCATGAGATAGACCACATGGTGAACTATGTGAAGGAGATGCCAGGCGGACTGGACAATCCAGTGTTTCTTCACGAGCTGAGGGACTTCAACGGGCACCTGGCCAGAGCGACGATAGTAAAGTCCGATGTCGCGACAGCCGTCGCGATTTGCAAGATCGCGAAGGAGGGGTCGGGGGTGCTATTCAAGCTCGCGCGCATCAAGGCTACGCATGGCCCGAGCGACAAGTATAGGAAGGGCGACGAGCAGACGCTACTGAAGCTCTCGGACGTCAATGTGTT